TTCATATGGGGCTGGCTGTAGGCTGTGTAGCCACGGTGCAGGCAGGGGTGTCCAGGGCTGTGGTGCAGAACAGGGTCCCTACTGTGCCCCAGGGGCTGTGTGCTGGGGCAGGGCCTCTGACGCCTTCCAGGCTCAGCACTCAGCCTGCCTGGAGAGCTGCCCAGGGCGCTGAGGGGAGAAGCGGTGGGTGGAAGTTTATACCTCCAGTACTGTGTCCAGTTCAGCACTCCCCGTACAACAGAGACATAGAACTACTGGGACAAGTTCAGAAGAGGGCTACTAAAATGAGATTATTAGATGACTGTAGCTCCTGTTGTATGAGGACTGGGTGAAAGAGCTGTGCTTGTTTAGCTTTGAAAATAGAAGAATGAAGGGAAACCTCATTAATGTATATGAATATCTGAGGGGAGGGTGTTGAGAGCATGGAGCAAGTTTATTTTCATTTGTGCCCAAAGACAGCACGAGAGACAATGGGCACAAACTGAAGCACAGGAAGCTCCAGCTGAATATGAGGGAGCACTTCTTTACAGTGAGGGTGACAGAGCCCTGGAATGGGTTGCCCAAAGAGGTTGTGGAATCTCCTCCTCTGAAGATATTCAAAACGTGCCTGGGTACCATTCTGTGCAATGTGCTTTAGGTGATCCTGCTTGGTGGGGGGATTGGACTAGATGATCTTCAGAGGTCCATTCCAACCCTGGACATTGTGTGATTGTGTGAAGGAGGCCTCCTGACATGGCAGGACCTTGCTGCTGCCCAGAGGTTGCTGCCTAAAGGCAGGCTGCTCACAGCTCCACAGCACCCCAGGGCATCTCGGGGGGAGATTCTTGACAGGGAAGACCAAGGCAGGAGCTTCCTGAAGGGAAAGCACTCTCTAGGATCTCTGCTTTCACTTTCCTGCTAAGGGGGCAATCACTGGGATCGTAATGGAATTGTCAGGTTTGTATCAGTGACTGAACCTCAGAGATCGTTACACTGAAATAGAATTGCGGGTCTGTGAGGAACCTTCTAATTTCCCTTCACAGCCCTTAGCCTACAGACAGCACCAAAAATATCTTCATTGTTTCTTGTGGGATTGTGGGATATCCTGCTCAACACTTGCAAATAGGGAGATGCCTCTGGCTAGTGGGCACCTGAGATACATCTCTGGTTCTCTTTACCAGACACTGTAGGAAAGTACAAACTCCTGCTGAGCCCAGAGAGGATCTGCCTGATCTCTGAGACAACTTTAAACTCAAAAAAAACAAAAAAAAACAAAAAAAAAAAAACAAAGAGAGAGGTCTCACAGGGAAGAGGCAGCGTGTCTTGTTGAGCAGCTTTCTGTGAAGAATGGTAGAAGTTTTGCTCGGATAAGTCTCTAACTTGTCTCTGTCTTTTCCTCCACGGATAGGCAACCATGTGCAGAGGCAGAAAATGTCCAACAGCAGCTTCCCCACAGAGTTCCTCCTCCTGCCATTTGCAGAAACACACGAGCTGCAGCTCCTGCACTTCGGGCTCTTCTTGGGCATCTACCTGGCTGCCCTCCTGGGCAACGGCCTCATCCTCACAGCCATAGCCTGCGACCACCGCCTCCACACCCCCATGTACTTTTTCCTCCTAAACCTCGCCCTCCTCGACCTGGGGTCCATCTCCACCACTGTCCCCAAAGCCATGGCCAATTCCCTGTGGGATACCACGACCATTTCCAATGCAGGTTGTGCTACCCAGGTGTTTATGTTTGCTTTCTTTCTCACAGCAGAGTTTTATCTTCTTACCATCATGGCTCATGACCGCTATATGGCCATCTGCAAACCCCTGCACTACAGGACAATAATGGACAGCAGAACCTGTGCCAAAATGGCAGCAGCTGCCTGCGGCAGTGGTGTTTTCAATGCTGTGCTGCACACTGCCAATACCTTTTCCCTCCCACTCTGCCAAGGTAATGTCTTGGACCAGTTCTTCTGTGAGATTCCCCAGATCCTCAAGCTCTCCTGCTCAGGTGCCTACCCCAGAGAGATTGGCTTTGTTGTGTTCAGTTCCTGTTTATTTTTTGGGTGTTTTGTTTTCATTCTTTTCTCCTATGTACAGATCTTCAGGGTCGTGACTAGGATCCCCTTGCAGCAGGGCCGGCACAAAGCCTTTTCCATGTGCCTCCCTCACGTGGCTGTGGTCTCCCTGTTTCTCAGCACTGCCTTTTTAGCCTACATGAAGCCCCCCTCCATGTCCTCCTCATCCTTGAATCTTTTGCTGGCAGTTCTGTATTCGGTGTTGCCTCCAGCAGTGAACCCCCTCATCTACAGCATGAGGAACAAGGAGCTCAAGGATGCGGTTTGGAAACTGATGACTGGAGGCTTTTCAGAACCAATTAAATGCCTGCCTTCTTTGGTATATCAGTCATAATATAACTCAATACAGGACCAGATATAATTCTTTTTCTTTGTTTTTCTTTACTTCTAATATAGTTGTCCACAAAGAAATGTTTTTCAAACCCTTCCACTTCAGTATCTACCTTGGGTGTCTCCAAGACTTGGTATAAGTAAGGTGTATTTATAGTGTGTTTGAGATGTATTTAAATAAAAGAAAAGACCCTGCTGAGACTTGCTTGCTTGAGATCCTTCCTTAGAGACATGTGGTGGAGCTGCAGGGGGACTTGGCTGTGTTCAGAGGTCGAAGAGGAAAAGAGTCCTGGCACAGCAACACTGCCAGAGAGTCCCAGGGCTTGGTCTTTCCTGAGCTGCTCCCCTTCCACACTCTCATTCGGAGTCTTTGTGTTATTGTGAGGACTGATTGCTCTTGTCACTTGCTCACTGTGCTGCTGTGTGGCAGTCATGTGTCCAAACGCAGGGCAGGCCAGGGGCACTTCTCTAACACAGCTGGCTCCATACCAGCATCTCCAGCATAAAGGGGGATCGGCTGAGGGCAGTGCCTGAAGGCTCAGCTCTTCTCCCAAAGCTGGTCTCATGGATATTTCAAAGGGACGGACTTGGACGAGGCTCCATGCTTTGTTTATTTCTCTTCTATTAATCTCTGACTCTGAAGAAGGCCAGGTACCTGTGCACATCCTCCATGGCCAAAGAACCACTCGTGTGGGAGGCAGTCAGTGGCAGTGTCCCCCTCGAGCTAGCTCTGCTTTCCCAGCCTGACCAGCACGGCCCTGCAGAGTGCCTGCATGGCTCCACGGAACACAACCCCCTTACTCTTCAGAGCAGCACTGCCAGCTCAGGGAATGTGGGCAGCATGGGCAGGGGCTGCAGGAATGACTCCTCAGGTCAGCCCAGACGTGCTGGGCTGGGGCAAGGCTGTGTGGGACATGGCGTGTCTCGGGAGCAGAGCAGGGCTCTGTGTGTGTGCAGTGGTGCTGCCTGAGGATCCCCAGGGCCAGCAGTGTGGTGCTGTGCTGTGCTGGGGAGGGAGGCTGGGCTGGGGGGCTGCAGGCTCCCTGTGGGAGGGAAAAGGTTTGGAGGCAGGGTGGAAAGGAGGGAGAGGAAATTGCAGTAGAAGAGAGGCAACCATTGATCTCCCATTCTCCATTTGCTGCTTTGGAGCCATCCCAGCCTGAGCTGTTCTGCTGGGATGGGCTGGGCTGTGAAAAGGTCAGGGAATTTTGGAGAGCTGGAGAGGGTCTGGACTAGGCTGGCCACCTGGTAGGAAAAGAGTGGACCAGAAGTGCAGAGGTTGGGCTGGGCCCTTGTTCTCTGGACACCCTGGCAGATGCTGCCCCAGGACAATGGTCCCAGAGCAGCCCCTCACAACCACCATCGCGAGCACTAGGCTCTTGCCCTAGCTCACACAGGTGGTTTGTTCCTCCAGCTACGAACACTAAATGACTACATCTGAAGCCTATGTTTGTCTTGTCCATCTGAGACAGCCTATGGTGTGGGTGTGGTGAGATGAACTTGAATGAGCCCAAGTGCCATCAGCTGTTTCTTAAGGGTGCCATCATATCCAGTGGGACAGACAGAGTCTCAAGGTCAATTCCCATTTGGAGGTATGGTCCTATTGAAAACCAGTTGAATAAAGCAATGCATCATGAAAAAAACAGCTGAATAAAGCAATGCAGTCACAAGTGGTGCCCCTCAGGGGCCAGCCTTGGGCCCAATGTTTTTCAACATCTTTATCAATTACATAGATGATGGAATCGAGTGCACCCTCAGCAAGTTTGCAGATGACATCAAGCTGAGTGGTGCGGTCGAAACAGTAGAAGGAAGGGATGCCATCCAAGAGGGACCTGGACAGACTGGAGAAGTGAGCCCATGAGAACCTAATGAGGTTCAAGAAGGCCAAGTGCAAGGTGTTATACTTGGGCTGGGGCAATCCCCAGTATTTATATCGACTGAGAGAAGAAGAACTTGAGAGCAGACCTGCATAGAAGGACCTGGGGGTCCTGATGGACGAGAAGAAGGGCATGAGCCAGAAGTGTGTGCTTTCAGCCCAGAAAGCCAAGTATGTCCTGGGCTGCATTAAAAAAGGGGAGTCCAGCAGGGAGAGGGAGGTGATTGTCCCCCTCTACTCTGCTCTTGTCAGACCCCACCTGGAATACTGCATGCAGGCCTGGGACCCCCAGCACAAGAAGGATGTGGAGATCTTGGAAGGCATCCAGAGGAGGACCACGAAGATGATCAGAGGGCTGGAGCACCTCTCCTGTGCAAAAAACACCTCTCCTATGCCTCATTGCAGCCATCCAGTACATAAAGGGCGTGTATAAACAGGAGGGGGAATGCCTGTTTACATGTGTTGATAATGATAGGACAAGGGGGAATGGTTTTAAACTAAAGCAGGGGAGATTTAGGTTAGAAATTAGAAGAAAGTTTTTCACTCAGAGGGTGGTGAGGCAATGGAACAGGTTGCCCAGGGAGGTTGTGGATGTCCCATCCCTGAAGGCATTCAAGGCCAGGCTGGATGCAGCTTTGGGCAGAGAGCTCTAGTGGCTGGCAACCCTGCTCAGAGCAGCAGTGCTGAAACTAGATGATCTTTAAGGGCCTTTTCAACCCAGGCCATTCTAGGATTCTATGATTCTATGACTTTCACACCAACTCCTTTGTTGAAGAGTTCTTGACTTTTTCCTAAACTATATATACAGTTCTTGATTCACTTTTCCACAAAGAGGTGGTCATTTCTTTCAGTATGACCTGGACTTGCTAAAGGCAGCATCGGGAAACATGAGTCTGGACATGTGGGAGGCCTTCTGAAGCATGAGCTGGTTGGCAGGCACAGTACCTGAGGGATTGTACAGAGCATCCCCTGCACCCAGTGCTCCTGGGTGTGCGGGGAAGAGGCCTCCTGAGCACAACAGCTCCTTGTAGCCCTGTGGATGCTGGCTGTGAGGTCACTTCTGTCCCAGAACCTGGCTGGCCAACAGCAGGAAGGAAGAGCCTCTGAGGTCATAAATGTCATCAGAAAGCTGCCCCCAACAGGGTGACACATTTGGGGAGTCAGGGGAAATCTGGGAGAATACAGCTAGGAGATTTGTGGGAGAGAAGATTGGTTTGGCTAATAGAAAGGAAAGATTTTGAAGAGGTAAGAGAGGTTCAGGTAAGGCTCATGTTGCAGCAACACTTACTAGGACAACTTTCATCTCAAGCCCTGGCAATATTTCTAACCAGGAACATTAAAGCCTAGTGATACCCTAATTGCGATGCTTCACCATGGAAGGAATCTAATCCCCTACCTCAAAACCTACCTTTATATTAAACCCCAAACACATCAGCTGTTACGGTTAATCTTAATCTATTGCTTTTACTAATCCCTAGCCCTTAATCGCTAACATTAAATTGCCATCCTTAACACCAACCCTCATCCCATAACAAAGCACATAATGAAACCCTAACCAAAGATCTAGCTCATACCCTAAACATTGACTGTCTACCCAAAGCAGAACTCAGAAGCATCCCTCTAAAACGCTGCTCAATCCCTAACCTGGAAGGCAAACTCTAATCCCTAAACCCTAACCTGAACACCTGATCATCACATACCTTGTTCTTGCACTCTTATCACAAAATTGAAGTGGTTTCACCCCATGAGGCTAGGAAGGGTTGGAGAGGTCCTGCAGCAATTGCTTGGTCTTGGAGGAGGTGACATGGATCTGGTCAGGTCATAGGGCTTAAGGAGGAGATGGGTGGGGATTTTCTGCTGAGGTCAGCTGTGCCTCGGGATCTCAGGAGGCAGCAGGAGGCCCATGGCTGTGCAGGTGGGTGTCAGGGAACTTCTGCCTGAGGGCCTGATGTGCCACCTTCAGGCACATGGCTGGTGTATGCGTGTGGCATTTAAGTTGTCATAAAGAACTAAGGAGCCGCAGACATGCAGCTAGCGTCAATATTTATTTCAAAGTCATTCCTAACCTAGTACCTAACAGAGCTTGCATGTAGTAGTCTGCTCTCCATCAGAGAAGCTGAAAGGCCATCAGGAGCTCTATGGCCTTGGATGATGACAACGACCTTGCTTTTATTGCATTAGGTGCTGGACGTCAAGGAGGGTGCTAGGTTTGGATGTCCTTATATGGTGTCCAGTCAGAAATGGTTGGCTTTGGTGGGGACTGTGAGGTCACTTCTGCCTCTGGAGCTGAGAGGCCAGCAGCAGGAGCATGGCTGGGCAAGGGACTGGGAGGTCCCATCTTTCTGAAGTAGCTACCAGGTCAACCCTTGCCCCTTGGCTGACAGATGGGCTTTTAGGCTCACATGTCCCAGCATCTCTCACAGGCCAGTAGAAGGCACCTGTCTGGCATGGTGCTTGTGTGATGCCCTCTGCCCAAGTACCTGAAAGGCCCATGCAGAACTGGCCTTGGTTGTGTTTTTTTAAGTGTATTGTGCCTGAGTATATGACTGGAGAGAGACAGGCATGTGGCTTGGTTGCTTCTTTCTGAGGAACTGAAAAGCCAGCAGGAAGGCCACGTGGCCTGGAGGATCATGGTGAGGTTCCTTGTGTCTGGTCAGCTGACAAGCCACAGAAAAGCTGATTGGTGAGGAGGATTCCTGTGTAAAGAATGGTTTTTGAAGTGTTGGAACTTTCCTTGGTCATGGGAAACAGCATGTGAGAGAAAACCTGCCTTAAAGGAAAGCTTGGGTGCTGGAGATAAGGCTTGAGAGAGAAGATAAGATAGTGGAAGGGATGTGAAAAATCATCAGAGGTGACCTGGAGGGAATCTCTTGTCCCTCCATGACATAGTGTTTCAGGGCACAGCTGGAGAGGGTACAGACATCAATGAAAGCACGGAAATGTCAAGGGGTGAGCAAGGTGGGAAAGCAAGATGGATGTTTGTAAAATGCAGTGAAACAGGGGCAGGTGCGGAACAGCATAGGACAGCCAGCAGTGGAGAGGGACAAGGGCACTGGGAAGGCGAAACATAGCCAGGAAAACCAAGGTCTTGTCCTCCTGGCTCAGGCAGGTCTCTCTGCCACTGAGGCCTAGGAGGACACATGTTGTCTTCTTACCACTGGGCCTCTATCCCCACTTTGCACGTCCAAAGGGAGGCCAGGAAGTGTCACACAACTGTCTTTCACTTGGCACTGCATACCACACGTTCCACTGCCTGAGGAAGAGCCCAGAGCCCTATGTGAGGGACAGGACCTCTCTGCCCAGGCCTGGCAGCAGGCCTTGGCCTTTCTGCTTGATGAAACAAACCTAGCATTTTCTCAGCCTCAGAGCCACCTGCACAGGGCCTTTGCCTACCTGTAATCATGGCCTCCTATTTCCTGCTCTAAGGAGTCCATGAGTCTTTGTCAGAAATGGCCCTTTGCAGGGCCTGAAGCTGTAGCCTGTGGAGAGGAGCCCACGCAGGAGCAGGAGCCAGGAGCTGCTGCCCATGGAGGACACAGGTTGGAGCAGTGTGCTCCTGAGGGATGGACCCCATGGTACGGACCCATATCTGAAGCAGTTCTCGAGAAGCTGTTGCCTGTGGGAAGCCCATGCAAGATCTGTTTTGGAAGGACAGTATCCTGTGGAAGGGACCCCATGTTGGAACAAGGGAAGAGAGTGACCGATAAGGAGAAGTGGAGATGAAATGCTATAGACTGACCGCAGCCCCCATTCCCCCATTGAAGAGGGTGGATCAGGGGAAGGTGTTTCTGGGCGTCTACTTTGTTTCTCACCTCTCTAGTTTGTTAGCAATAGGCAATAAATTTTACTATCTGTCTCCCCACTCTGAGTCTGTTTTGCCCATCAAAATAATTGCTGAGTGATCTCCCTGTCCTTATCTCAACCTTTGAGCCCTTTGCATCTTATTTTCTCCCCCTTTCCTTTTGAGGAAGGGGGAGTGATAGAGTGGTTGTGTTGGAGCTCAGCCGCCCACCAAAGAAAAATCACCACAACTTGGAAGAGGTGATCCTTGAAGACCAAGCAGCTTCCTTGGGCCCCTCTTTCCTGAAGGGCTTTGTCCCATGGGACTCTACAAAGGAGATGCCCAAAGAGGTCAAAGTCTGCTCTCTTGAAGTCCAGGGAATTGAGATTGCTGTGCTCCCTCCTTGCTGCACTTAGCAGCCTAAACTGCACCATTTCATGGCTACTGCAGCCCAGGCTGCCCTTGAGCTTCACATTCCCCACCAATCCCTCCTTATTGCTGAGAATGAGGTCCAGCATAGCACTTTTCTTCGCTATCAATGGAAGAAGAAAGGTATCATTAATGCATAACAGGGCCTTCCTGGATTGACTGTGCCCTGCTGTGCTGTCCCTTCAGCAGATACCAGGGTGGTTGAAGTCCCCCCTGAGGACCAGGGCTTTTGAATGTGAGGCTGCTTCTATGTGTTTACAGAGGGCCTCACCTGCTGGTCTTGCTGATCAGGTGGCCTGCAGCAGACTCCCACTATAATGTCCCCTGTCCCTACCCTCCCTTTACTCCTGACCCATCAGCTTGCTGTCAGATCCTCACTCATCCCTAAGCAGGGCTCCATGCACTCCAGCTGCTCACACACATAGAGGCCACACTGAACTGAAGCAACTGAACAAGGTCCTGTGGGTTTGTGCAGTGTGTGAGGGGAGCTTCATCACAGAAGGATCATCACATGGATCAAGGGTTTCCAGCTGGGGATGAGATGCCACAAATGGATAGGTGCACTGCACAAGGGTACCTAAGCCCTCCCCATCCCTGCCTGTGTGTCCTATTTGTTATTGGCCATGAACAGAGTTTTCCAGAGGGAATATTTGCACCTCTCAGTGACAGTCAAACTCTCTTAGGAATAACTGTAATTCTGTACTCAGCCTCTCTCTGCTGTTTCAAAGGGATATTTGGCAATTATTTGAGTTGACTTTAAAGTATGTTCTGCAAA